TGAAAACAAAAGCGAGTGCCTTCGCCGTGTTTGTTTGCCACTGATCTGTACTGCCGAAGACGCTTCTCAGTTCCTAATATACGAAAAATCGCAGAAACCGAAGGTCCACCGGTCTTGTACTGCTTTGCTGATTGTGACTCCACAGGCAAGCTCTGGCTTAAGCTTCCTCCTTCCTTACGATGCCCGAGGAAATCTGTCAATGTGATCGACATCTTTTCGACGCGTGGTTAAGCGAGGATTGCCGTAAGAACTATACCTCGAACAGCATCGCACGATATATTTGAAATGCTTTCTAATGATAGTTGCTAATATGGCAAATTGAAAATAGCAGTTTAAGGCCTGGCGAGGTGAGTCACCATCGCAACGCCGAAAACTCACCTCACCCGGCGTTTGAGTCAGATATTTGGATTAGTGAAGTGATAAGAAGGCGCGAGCAGACGAGCGATGCTATGTCGGGAAACTTATCTCTGCAGCGTTCGTTATAAGTAGGCTGTACACACAGGTATTGTGCACTCGCGTATATCTATGGTATAATCCCATCGCCTTCCGTTTTTTTTTTTCGGTGTTTCAGGACGGGTCCTCCCTTAGCCAGGGGATGAGTTCATCCCCTGATATATATATATATATATATATATATATATATATATATATATATATATATATATATATATATATATATATATATATATATATACATATATATATATATATATAGCTGCTTTTCGTCAGATGATATACACTTGAATCCGAGGAACGTAATAGTTCGTATGGAGTCAATACGCTTGTTGTGTGAGCTATAGTTTAGTTTTGCAATTTGCCTCAATATCAGTAGCGCTGCAATAAAGCTCCTTGGTGGTTGATAGGAACCAGGGTAGAGGGTGTTCCAATAAGAATTGCTTGAATGGGAATGAATTTAAGTAGCCGCCAAGATAATTTTCTGTCGTTAGTCGCCGTGTTGTGCCGTTACTACTAATAAAAATAAGGTAACAACGGGTGGAACCATACCGAAGGCGTGTGCCATAAGTTTGTCATTACCTTCTTCCGCGACTTCACAACTGAACTGCAGAACCGTGCACTCAAGTTTGCAGGAGTCGACTCCACCCCCTCTGATTTCCAACAGTATCATGTTCCACACTCATTGGCTTCATGCCGTGGAATAGCGACAAACCAATCTGCAGTCCGTGCCGCCTCGCCTTTCTGTCGATGACGCGCGCCTGTAGCATACGACCTCGCGAAAACCATCGAGTTCGGGAAGGCTAATGAAGGCACGTGAATGCTTGATGAAAGACTGAAACTGTATATCGGCATCCCATAGGTCTCCCTGGTTCTTTCTTCGCGGGAGGAAGCACAGCGAAGATGGCGGCCGCTCTGAGGACGCCATCCGACCCCTATAACTCCTTGCAGCGCGAGCACAAAAGCTGCTGCTAAGGCGCAGTGTTCAGATTGCCCCGGTTCTCGATTATTTGATCTACTTTCACCCGCTCGGAGACTGATACTACTTTCTTGTTTGCTCTGGCGATCGCATTCTGATATCATAACTACATTCCCTATGCTTTGGCACCCCTCCTCCCCGTCTTCGACTCAAGCCACGCGAAAGAACGCATTAACCACTGGCCATAGTGAATGAAAGCGAAAAAAAGAAAGAGAAGAATATCAGTGCGAATGAAAACAAGCACACACGCGTAGATAGAAGAGGAGGCGGAGGCCGAGTAGCGAGCCGGGCTGCTTGGGTATGCGCGGCACGGGTTTCGCTAACGGTGTTCGGCGTTCCCCAGAAAGCGGGCAACCCGTTGCCGCTCTATACGCGCTTTGTGGCCGTAGCGTTCGCGGCATCACTTCTCCGCACGTGAAATATTGAAGGCTGGGCGCCGCCTCGGAGTAACGCGCTTGACGACTCTTCCGAGCCCATTGGACGGGGGAGCCTTCCCGGCGTCTCGGGAAGCGTACCAATCTTGCGGATGGATAGTGCGCTGGCGGTGGCCCGAGGTAGTGCGCGTGTTATTCTATTCTGCTGCTTCTGTTGTTGTCATCTGGGCATGAGCGGTTTGCGCCTGCTTCCCGCCACCTTCTATACATCTATATGTATGTGCATTCATTCGCGTCGCTGCTGGTGGCGCCTCGATCGCGAGCCCCGCTCGCGAGAATCACAATTCCACTCGTATACGACTGTGCAGATGCCCTGGGCGCTTCCCCGGAGATGGCTTCCTCGCACGGTTATTTGATGCCAGGCGCCGGAGGAAGGTTTGCGCTGGCATCTTCTTCGGCGTAGGAGAAAAAAGAAAAAGAGCCGGTGCCGCCTAATTGTGTTTCCTGAGTGCGTTCAACGTCACTTGCGCCGTGGTCGTCAAAACGAAAAAGGGCCTCGGGCGTCGTATTTCGGCTGATGGTGGTGATGATGCTCAGCTATCGAGCGCACCCTGCGAATGCTCTTAGCTGTTCGTTGTCGGAGGCGCCGCGTAGGCTGTTGTAGCCCGCAGGTACAGTGCGAGAGGTAGGATGAGGATGTGCTCAAAAAAGTCTTACATCTTGTTTTGACAATTTTATGCACGCAGGGAACGTGTACATGTATTTTGATGGTCTAAAATTCATGACCAGCTTATGTGTCAGCATGGAAGCCTTTTCCTAATCAGTGTTAAATAATATTTTCAATATCGCTTGTTCTCTATGCGTGCGTGACCTCCGTGCCTTTCCTCCAGCTTCTTTCATTAATGCTGCCAGTCTGTGTGTCGTGATATGTTGTTGGGAACGTGACGCTTTTCGTCAAAGACTGCGGCTTTCAAACGAACGGGTGAAGGTTGACCCGGTGATAGTGGCCTGCAGTTGTTGTACGCGATTACCTGCCCTGCTTATATCACCATTTTTACAAAATTATTACGAATTCGATACACAAAAGGCAGGTCAGTCAACGCAGAATTTTCCTGGAGTGATGATTTCGAGGTCAGCGCTTGGAAAACCTGAGTTTACACTTGAGTCTGAAATTTTGAAGACATTTACCATGCTTGATTGAACTGACAAGAGCATATTTTTTGTTACTACGCCTGTAATATTTCTCTGTCTATTTTGTTGACATCTGGTGTATCAGCTTTGTGGCGTCCCACGTCTTGTCTACCTTAGCGTCTTGCTCGAGGTATGCAAGACCTGGAGATCGCGTAATAGCAAGCTAGGCTCCTCTCGCAGATGAATAAAAGTCGAGGGATTCGAGAAACTATTCCGAGGAACCATGGATCCCAAAGTTGGTTTCCGCGTCTTTCTCTTTACCTGACAGGCATGCTATCGCCATGCCGGAAGACGCTTAGTGAACGCTCAACATGTTTACAGCGCGCGTTATTACCTGCTACAAGAATGACTCCCTTTACACACCATCTATTTTTAAAATGTGGGCCAGACTACGCAACGTTTTCTCAGACACATAAAGGGCATAGTTGGTATATAAATAATGTTTTCTTGGGTTTGATATGCCAAAATCGCGATGTTATTCTGAGACCCGCCTTAGTGGGAGACTCCAGATTAGCTTCGACCACGGGGTTCTTAACGCACACGTAAATCAAAGCGCATGTGTTTTAGTTACATTTCGCTCCCTAGGAATGCGGCCGCCGTGACTGGGAATCGAACCCGTTCCCTCGAGCTTAGCAGCGCGACATCCAACTTCCAACGCTACCACGGAGACTTGTAGGCACGAAACCATGTGTTTTTGATGCGCGAGTCGGGAAGAGCTGTTCTTTGGAGGCTGTCAAGAGTAGTTTCTTTGTGATATTGCGTATAATAAAGGTGGTGATATTGTGTTGTCATCAATCATGAGCATTTGCGTAATTTAGCCTGGCGGTTAGAAGCTACACTGTTCACTTTTTTCAAAGCTGAGCCTTTGCAGGGGAGTAGGAAGGTGACAAGGACACTCGACGTTCCGGGTGTCAGTTTGCAATTAGTGGTATCATCTCCGAGCCTAGATCTTCTTGAATACAATGAAGAGCTTATGGTGTTCTGTACCACGCTGTCAATTGTTTACTAAATGATTTGACCGTGTGGTGCACGTGCCTCGCTTTCGAAGAAAAGCGTGTTCATTCTCATAATGAGCACCAGTATTATCGGTATTTCCTACGGTGCTTAAAGAAGACGTTTCAACAAAATGAAAAGTGGGCAAAATTTCGTCGCTACTCTCGGAACAAACGCCTCGAGATCGGCGATAGTTTCACAATGCGCTAGTAAACATACAGGGACCACCTACCAGCTTCATTTTCGCACATACATCATATTCGCTAATGTTCTCGAAGAGGTGATTAGCAAAATTGAAATTCGTGAATTGTTTGTTGCCATTCATTACTTCCCTTCTTTCCTCCTCCACCTCGTGAATTGTTTGTTGTTGATTACTGCACTAACTTGATGTTTTCTGCAGCCATGAATTCAGCTAGACATAATCACCGGTGTTTCGAATACCCTTCAGTTTATAACATTCGATGGACGTCCTTAAAAGAGCTCGTATATCTGTCTACCGTTCCACTAATATATCTGTATTCCAGCTACTTGTCTACATCTGTAGCATTCACGCAATGGTGAAGGCTACAGATGAGTGTTTCGTAGCTAATTATCAGTCGACGTTATACACCCTTCCCAGATTCCAAATCTGGGTCTTCCCAGACTACGGCCGACTTTTTTTATTTCTGCATGGTCAAGAATTGGTGGTACGGGTTTTGGGAAGGGAGAACTGCACCTGTTCATGTCCATGTTAGGCGTCAACTCAGCATGAAATATAACATACAAGGAGCATTGTTCATCTTGTTAGCGTGTAGTCAGGTCTGTAATATTAGCACTTAGAGAACTCTTCAAAATCAGTGATACAGAATGTTTCAGGATTTACAAAAAATAAGTCTTCTGCGTAAAATCGCCGATAGTACTGATTGATGAGAAGCTTGTTTTAATGCCGTCGTTTAGACACGACCAGTGCTTTCTTTTCAAATTTTCGGATGTTTTCCATTGACTACAGGTGTTCCTTCTCTTGTGTGCAGGTTCGGGCCGAGGTGGGAGCAGCACTGGCGGCGAGGAAGAGAGCAGCGACGACGAGCACGTGTGCGGCCGCTGCCGTGCCGAGTTTCCTACTCTCGACCACTTCTTAGCACACAAGCGGTGCTGCCCAAGTGTCGAGACAATGGGGCTACCAGGCAGCACACCGAGTCGGCTATCGTGCAGTGATGACGATGCGGCTGGCCGTCAATCAACGTCGGACGTGGCCGAGGTGGACGAGGATCCCCTGGTGGTGGCTGCAGCTGCGCGACTGCCTTCGACGCACGTGGCGTTGGAGGCTCTGCAGAGCACCAAGGTGGCCGTGGCGCAGTTTGCCTACGGCAGCGCTGGAGGTCCTGCTGAGATAGCCGCGCTACACGAGGCGCTGATGGCGCTGCAGCAACAGCAAGTCGTCCAGCTCCACATCATTCAGCAACTGCAGGCGTACGTGGGTGCCACACCAACGCTTCCTGTAAACCTGACCAGGGCGGCGGACAGTACACCGACACCGCCTCCTCCGCCGCCACCGCCACCACCGGCGCCTCGGACCGAGCCCAGTCCAGATGCCCCGGGGCAGACACACGCGACCCCGCCGCCGCCGAACACCGCGGTAGACCTGGCCGCCAAAGAGATTGCACCACCTGAACCCGCTGAGCCGCCACCGGAAACTATCTCCAGCGGTGCCTTGCTGGTTGCGCCGCCCGTGGGTCCGCCGCCACCGGACGAGCCCAACACGCTTGAGCTTCTGCAGCGGCACACTGAAAAGGCGCTGCAGGACACCATGAGTGGCGGCTCGTTCCTGCTAAATGGCCTCGGCTCTCCTGACCCGAGTCGTCTGCGCAGGAAGGACGGCCGGCCCGACGAGGCTTACTTGCGCCACCGGTGTCGTTTCTGCGGCAAGGTGTTCGGCAGCGACAGCGCGCTGCAAATCCATATCCGCTCCCATACCGGGGAAAGACCCTTCAAGTGCAACGTCTGCGGGAACAGGTTTTCAACGAAGGGCAACCTGAAGGTGCACTTTCAAAGACACCGTGCGAAGTACCCACACGTGCGAATGAACCCGCATCCTGTTCCGGAGCACTTGGACAAGCATTTCCCGCCGTTGGAGCCTCCCGGGGATCGCAGCCCGACATCGCCGTCCGGCGCCACGTCGTCACCACCACCGTCGCTACAACCCGCACTGGCTCTACAGACTGCTCCTTTGGGTGTCTTGGTCAAAGCAGGGTCCCAAGTGCCACGACCCGATGATCTTGTCGGACCTAGTTGCAGTGGGACGCTGGCGTTACGAGCCACGGGCAGCAGAAGCATATCTCCTGGTACTGAAACGACCAATGTGACTACATCAATGGGTTCTCCACCGCTGGAGGGAGAACGCCCTTTAAGTCTTAAAGCCGAGCCAGAGGATGATGCAGAAGACAAGGCGTCGGACGAAGACAGAGACTCCGGCGGCATCAGTGGTTCCGCTGATGACTCTATGCCCTTCACCTCAGCGGGATCGTTCATGAGCAGCTCCTTTTCCGCGCTTCCGACGCCTGCGGACGCAGCAGTGCCACTACATGCGGACCCCGCGTTTTACCAAGACTTGCTGCCGAAGCCTGGAAGTAACGACAACTCGTGGGAAACTCTCATGGAGGTGACGAGGCCGTCTGAGACATCCAAGCTGCAGCAACTGGTCGACAACATTGAGCACAAGCTGAGTGACCCGAACCAATGCGTGATATGTCATCGTGTGCTCAGTTGCCGCAGTGCTCTGCAGATGCATTACCGGACACACACCGGTGAAAGGCCGTTCCGTTGCAAAATATGCGGTCGTGCGTTCACCACGAAAGGAAATCTTAAGACACACATGGGAGTGCATAGGGTCAAACCACCGCTACGTGTACTTCACAAGTGCCCCGTCTGCCACAAACAATTCACTAACTCTCTTGTTCTGCAACAACACGTCCGTATGCATGGATCAGAAAGCTTGCATCCGACGCAAAGTTTCTCAACAACCTCACAGAGGCCCACGCCACCGCCAAAGACTTCTTCGTCACCACCTCCAACTTCTCCTTCTTCACCAATGCCTGAGCAAAAGAAAGAAGAGGAGCGGTCGCCCTCTCCGCAGCCTCTGTTGCGGCCTCTGAGTCCTGAGCGCCCACCGTCGCAACTAACGTCATTAGCTGCTCTTGAAAATCAGGTTAAGGGCATCAAGACGTCGTTGCAAGTGCCAGCATTACCTTTCGGCCCTTTCGGAATAGGCCTTTCTTCTGGTTTTGGGCGCTACGACGAACAGTCGCCTCTCTTTAATCGAACGCCAGAAGCTGGACAACGGTCTCCGGCATTTTCACCGCGAGCAGGATCTGAACTGTCAACTGGTGATGAAAGATCAACTCCAGGAGCGCCTTCGCCATCTGGTGGAACTTCACCACCCGTGAACGGTGGTCCGCTAGATCTAACGCCGCGAACCTTATTAGGTCGGCCAGCGGACAACTTTTCTGGTCGCTTTTTTGCCGCTCCGCCGTTGGGAGGATTGCCGTTTCCTGGAGCCGCGCCCGGCCGCCCGAATACAACATGCCAGATATGCTTCAAGACGTTTGCCTGCAACAGTGCTCTCGAGATCCACTATCGGAGCCACACCAAAGAGCGACCGTTCAAATGCAGCGTCTGCGAGCGGGGCTTCTCCACCAAGGGAAACCTCAAGCAGCACATGCTGACACACAAGATCCGAGATTTGCCGGCCACCTTGTTCGCAGCCACCCCTACCTCGAGTGCGAGCGCGCCGAGCCCGGTACCCAGTCCCGGGCGCTCCTCGAGCCCTGCTGATCAGCGACCCGGCGCCAGCCCCGACGAGAATCGGACCAAGAGGGTGGAACCGGTGGCTGCGCCGCCGGGTGGGCCGCCGCCGCCCCGGCGACCTCCTGGCTTGCCAAGGCACGTGTGCCACGTGTGCAACAAGCCCTTCTCGAGCTCTAGTTCTCTCCAGATCCACATGCGCACACACACTGGTGACCGGCCCTTTAAGTGCTCCGTGTGCGGCCGCGCTTTCACCACCAAAGGCAACCTCAAGGTGCACATGGGTACGCACATGTGGAACAACGGTAGTTCGCGTCGCGGCCGCCGCATGTCCATTGAGCTGCCATCGCTGCTGAGTGGGCCCAAGGCTGACTTCGTGCCGCCACCGCCGCCACCCCATGAGCTCTTCTACCCCTACCTTGGGCCGGCCTACCTGAATGGCATGCTGGGACCGAAGGCGAACGAGATCTCCGTCATCCAGGGCGCCAGCACCGAGCCCCGACCGGGAGATGAGGCCGAGCCCCACAACGGCGCCTGGGCCTGGAAGATGGCCTGCAACTTGTGCGCCAAGATTTGCGGTTCGTCGCTCGAGCTAGAGGCTCACCTCAAAGCGCACCATCGCAAGGAACTGGAGGTCCAGTCGCCTGACAACGTGGCCGTCTGAGGCCGCCCGCACCCCTAGTCCATGCCCTTCCCAATTCCTGTAGCCCAAGTGGCCCTTCCCCGTAACTTATTGTCTCGCCCTCATCCACGAGTTGGTTATGTCTTCTGTGATAGTGCACCTCCCGAACTGCCGAAACTGTTTTTCTCCCCTTGTGTAACCTCGTTTTCATTAGTTCGGCCCTCGTCGGTCGCAGCCCTTGGCGCAGCCCTGGAGTGTACAGTGTTTCTGCAGGGGCCGCCCGAGCGGTGCGGCTTTGCAACACCCCCCTCTTCCTCCTCGCCTCCCCAACGCCCCTAGGCGCCAGCCAGCCGTCGGGCACAGCACCAGCTGAGGGCCGGGGGAACCACGCGAGTGATACCTGGGCTGTGATATGTGTGGTGCCCCTGGCCCTTTTTGAGTAACGCGTTCCCCACACCTCCCCTCCACGCGCGCCATGCTCTACGACGGCAAAATACACTGGGCATTCCATTGCTACACACACGCGCAAGCGGATGCATTCCGTACCTCCTCCCTGTTGATCTGTCTTCCTATCCAAGCCCTGGGCCGTCCCTGTTCAGGCATAGCGCTCGACGGACCCCGTGAACTCCTGCCGCCTCCTCCCCCCTCTTGGTTTCTCACTGGGCACGCTAATGTGCACGTGCTTCGGGCGACGCCGCGAACCGGCACATAAAGGCCAACAAATCACGTGTCATCGCCAGCCACTGTTTGTACTCTCTTCGAGATGCTCTTTGCAGCGTTGTTGAAGCCACAGGCGCGAGGGCATAGATTACAGTGAGGAACAAAGCGTGCGATATTAGGTGTACGATGTGAGCTAGGAAAGCTGTTAAACGTTGCCTAAATCGCAGAACTCCAACAATAGAAAAAAAAACAGAGACACACTCGGAAGTGCGTAAGGCAACGCCATCGTCTCACATTAGACCGCCTATTTGGGCTCGTGTTTAATAAAAAAAAAAACAGACTTTGAGCCTTGAGCTATCGAACAGAAAACAAAAAAAGTTCTCATCTTTTCTTGTTCGCGAACATCATTATTTAGTCATCTCAAGTTTCGTCAAGAGAAACCAGCCACACTGGCGGCTACTTAACAGTGTTGGGAAAAGTGTAATTGAAATTGCATTTTGTTTAGCGACAGCATTTTCCGCGAGACAAAACTTACATTGGCAGAGGCGGCCATATTAGTTCTGTTTAATTTATGCCAAGCTTGCTTCAGTTTTCGGTCAACATTTATTAATAATAATAATATATTTTTTTTTTGTTCAGGAACGATGTCAGCACTGAGATATCTGATGCATTGGGCGCAGTACACTGAAGCTAGGAGAAACCAAGTACAGGTCGCATCGCGGAAGGCTAAGCGAAGCCAAAAATTTGCGCATAACTTGCATTTTTCTCCACAAATCTATTTCAGTCCTGTAGGGGTTCCCGTCGTTTTTTAGGACCTAGTGCTGTCTACTTTAATCGGAAAATGTTGCCTTCGACTTGTTAAGCTTAGTTGGAAGTCATAACATTTTTGTCAAAGGCTGTAGCGGTATACACTGCGAACATTGTCATACGACTTATACCATAGCGCTTGGAACTTCGATGTAAGCAGCAGCGTTGGAGCGTGAAGCTTGTCGAATCGGATGAGGTAGCACATACAAACGGCAAAACATCTCAGCGGTGCAAAATTCAGTGTTTTCAACGTCTCTTGTAGCATAAATGAAGCCGCTAGTGACACGCCGTGCGTGGTTTCGTTCACGTTTGCGCAACGAAAGTGACATTAGTGTACTAGATGAAACATCGCGGACAGGTCTCCCTATAGTAGTTGGTTACGTGAGCAAGTAAAGCTGCCGTACGTGCACATTTACTCATTATTCCTCGCATTTTGAATATAGAAACGAACAATTCACCAAAGCATGGCAACTTAAAAGGTTTTTTTTTTTTCTTTTTGTGCTTCAATAATGCGTGACATCATCGTCTTAGTACTCCTATTATTACACCGCACACGTCGGGTCATAACGCAGGGTGCTGCTACTACTGAATATGTTTCCATCTTTTCGGTCATTGCGAGGACGCCTGCCTTCTATTCTAACATCGTGGTCACTCCTCCATCCGCGTTCAAAAAACTTCGCTCTTTTCACCAAAGTCGAAACGGATAAAATTAGCGAAGCCTGAGTTTATCTACGCAGAAACGAATCTCCAAATACGACGCGTTTGTGATTAGCGCCGCTTGCCGGAAAGGCCCTTGCGATTCTATTGCGTAATTTTGTTTCGTTTACTTTATAAACGATTATCCTGATATTATTGATTGTTTAGAATTTCATCATGACAGAAGCTAACCTGAAATGTTCAACGGGATAAGAACTTTACGTGGCATCTTGCGAGTTATAGTTGCCTCCATAATATTAATTGAGATTTACAAAGAAACTAGCATTCTTTTGACCCGGCAGTTAGCCTGCGAAGTTGCGCAAGGTCAACGCCCTGTGGCTCGTAACTGTTTCACGTATGGTCACATCGCTTGCCTGGTTGGTACCAGAATAGTACTAGCTGCTACATGCATGTTTAAGTCACAAGCTCACCGTTCGTGCGGGGTTCTTTAACGTCAACGAGCTGGTGGTTAAGCACAAATAGTATTTTGTTCTCTAATTTTAGAAATTATTCATGCAAGACTCCGCATGCTAGTCTCGCGTGCATTGCGTCCCATGATAGGAGCGTTTTTGGCGCCATTTACTGGCATATCCAAAAGGACCATTTGTACCGATTCTGTTCACTTTCTGCATCGTTTCTTTTAAGTAGCGATGTCTTTTTATTCCTTCCAAGTAGGCTCACTTTTTGTTTCTGGTATTGTGCTTTTCTGGAGTTAGGTTTTCGTGAAAATGCTGGCGTGCTGCAGAGTTGCTGTACTTTCTGGCACGTGTGTGTCTGAAGGCGGTAAACGGAAGCGTTTTCCCTGGCGTTCGTTCCACCCGTTCCTTTTTTTTTTCTTGCAAGGAGTGATGCGAATTGTATACACGGTGTAATACTCAGCACATCTTTATATTTTTTTCTCTCCAAAGCGCGCAGTGCGCGCGCGCATGCCTTATTTTTTTTCGTTAGCCACGTTTATATTACCTTTTGTGTTGTTCGTTTGGAATTGTGGCGTCACGTATCTTCCCCCTGAGGGTTCCATAGCGACGCCGCGGGTGGACTGCGGCAGTGTTCTTTCCTATCCCAGTGGCGTGCATTCGTTGACTTTGTGGTCCAAAATCTGACACATCCCCCTCCCCGTCCTCGATCTGACCGTCGTTGCGTGCTGTATTTTTAATCGACAAAGGGGGGATTCGTTTTGTGTGTGTGTTTTGTTTTCAGTGATTACGTCAGGCGGACGTGATCATCCTTGGGGCAGTGCTCCGCCAGCCATCGTGTCAACAGAAACACTCCGGAGAAAGCTATTTTTGTAACACTTGTAGCGGTTGTCAACGCTGCCTGGCGGAACACTGCTCGCCTGACCAAGGAGCTAAAGGGAACGCTCGTGGGCTTGCGAGAGAATCATCACCGATCAAACTGCGTGACTCGGAGCAAACAGTCTGTCTGTACCCAACGAGTTTTAGGCATGTTTTTACCCTTGCCCTGCCCCACTCACACTGCTGGCTGACCTCCCTCGCGTCGCGCAGTGCCGATAGCTGGTTTTGAGACGCTGTTATTTCTGTCAAGGTGCCTCGGTTTCATTTGTGAGTGTTGTCGACGCGAACACGCACATTCACTCTTGTATAGTCAAACTGCCATGTTCACTCCTGCAAGTCGCTCGAAGGGACCATGAAAGGAACAATACGAACAGTCTGTTACGTCGCCTTCCCGCGAAAAATGGGGAATTGCAAGCCCAAAAGACACGGTTGGTGTGTCGTTCAAATCGAACTATGGATGGCCTCTACTCTCAGAGACTCATTGCATAATAGCAATTTACGAGCAGTCTGCGTTTTTCTAAAGAAAACAACAACAATTTTACCTATTCACCCATATTTGTTTTGGCGTAGTTACGTATATCACAAATGTCGCACAAGATGTATAATCTGAATCAAAATTCTTCACTCATTGAAAGCATGAAATGGCGTGCATGAATATACGTTAACCTTATTAGATGTCGCCAGTCGGACGCGGTCAACTGGAGACAAGTTCGTGGTGAATTTCATGGTTCCCGAGATGTGACGATTGCGACACAATTCTCAACAGCTCTCAACAATGCTGAGTCTGGCCCATTGTATAACGAGCAGTGTCAAGGTTTACAATATTTACTTGTTGTGCTTCTGATATTCGTTTATGTCACATGGAAGTGCTTTATGACGACTTCAACACAATAGCAGAGAAATGAGTTCTTTTCTTCATGCGCTATGCGCAAGGAGTTGCGCGCTGGGGCTAGAAATATGTCAAATGGATTGCGTGTCTGGGATGAACATTGTGCTGTGCATGCAAAGTCTGAGATGTCATTACCTTGGAAGGCAAAGTCATGAGCTGTGCTCAGGCACCTTATCTTCCCAACGTTTTCGAGCCCTCCTGGCACCCCACATGTATCTGTGAACACCCTCCAGCGGCCTCTCTTTGTACGCTCCAGGAGGCAGCAGAATAAAACAAACGAGGACATCGCCATGGAAATACATCGTGCCGAGCGATAAATAAAACTCAATTTTAGACGGAGGTCGAGCGGGAAAAAACTCGTTGTGTTGTCTTCATTCTTGACGTTGCCTTGTCCACCAACTTCAGAAAGTGAATGTTGATGGGACACTCAGAATGTTGTCTTTATGGTCTCTATGTGTTATCCGTCGCTCATCACCTGCTAGTGCGACCGTCTCACAATGTAAGCAATTCTCCAAAGCTCTTCGGAGTAGAAAATTATCAAATTAAATATCTTATCCGGCTTTTATATACGCTGTGCTTGTTAGGTGGATGCAGCATATGAAAAAAAGTGGATGCATGTTTGAAGAGTCATGATGTCTAAAATAGAGATAATAAATGGATAACATTAAAAAGCAACAACTGCACTTACAATTGCGTAAAGGTTTCGTGTTGCCTATAGGACACGCTCGTACTGTCTTTTGGGCAATACCGCAATATGCGATTCACCGTTGACATTGCTCGTAACGCAAATGATTGAAACATTTATGGAACTCGAAGATCAAACTCGCTTAACACTGTAATTACTGCGTTCTAATCACTTATAGGTGGACATATTCGCCAAGGTAAAGATCGTATTTTGCGCGCTAACTTCAACGCGACATGTGACACGAAAAAATTACACAAGTATTTCGGAGATTGTAGGTATGATAGTCCTCCCTTGCTGAACATGAACACACACACACACACACACACACACACACACACACACACACACCCACACACACACACACACACACCACACACACACACACACACACACACACACACACACACACACACACCACACACACACACACACACACACACACACACATACATACATACATACATATATATATAATATATATATATATATATATATATATATATATATATATATATATATATATATATATATATATATATATATATATATATATATTACCTACCTACCTACCTATCTACCTACCCACTCCCAGTCGCGTGCTGGGCATACCCGCATAAATCCGTTCATTATATTGGCGGGTATGCGCCAGAGGTGATTGCTATATTAACCGAGGTAAAGTGAAAATGGACATGAAAAAAAAAAAACAACTTAACCAGACACTTTGCGTTGGTTGAACAGAAAAGGGCGTACCGCTGTTTTATGGTTAGCATTTTTTTTTAATTTAGCCCCGCCACGGTGGTCTAGTGGCCAAGGTACACGGCTGCTGACCCGCAGGTCGTGGGATCAAATCCCGGCTGTGGCGGCTGCATTTCCGATGGAGGCGGAAATGTTGTAGGCCCGTGTGCTCAGATTTGGGTGACGTTAAAGAACCCCAGTGGTCTAAATTTCCGGAGCCCTCCACTACGGCGTCTCTCATAATCATATGGTGGTTTTGGGACGTTAAACCCCTCAAATCAATCAATCAACTTTTATATTTAGCAGGCAAACACTGGAAAACGCTTTGCGACCCGGCTTAGCCTATAGAACCACGCGGTAGAGATCGGTAGCAAATGTGTTACACGAATAAATAGAGAGAGAAGAGAAAGAAAGAAGGGAATGTGTGTTGAATTCGCTGACACGTGTGCAAGCGAACAAGCCACAGGCGTTTACCCGCGCCCGTACCTTTCAAGATGCACGGATGTCCCTTCACTGCTTTTCCGGTGTACGAATAGTCAAGATGGTGCACTAACACCACCTGCACGGAAAGCAGTCTTTCGTTGAGATCGCAAAAATATCGTCAATACAAGTTCGCAATTGAACCATACGAAGTTTGAAGCAATTTCTAGGCAATGGTAGTGTGAACGACGATATCACGTTCCGGGTTACTTAGTTCGCAACCAAATGTGGAAATGTTGACTAACAAATGATCATGGAAGAGACGCCACACAAGCAGGCAAGCGCTGGCTGACAAATGGGTTTAATGGTGTAAAGACTGCGCTCATAAATACCCAAGTGAATCGTATGTGAAAGACAGGAGAATGACGTTAAAAAATGAAACATTTTACTCTTTAGCCTACCTTTGAATATAGAAAACCGATAGCCGAAACTAGAAGATAAAGCTTTGCATCAGAAAAAGAAAAAGAAATGTTTGTCGAAGTCCTTGTCACATAATTTCTTAATATGGTGGCCTTCTTCTTAAGCGATACGATTGGTTTCGCATTTGCTCTTGTAATTCTTATTGCGAAGAATCATTGTATATTCAAACGGGGCCACATAACATGTGCACTCACAGGCATGCCCAACTAAATGTGCGTTCATATCATCTAGATTTTTTGTTAACAGGTTTTCCTAAGCAGTCATTAACATATCGCCCAGTTTCTTCGATCTAAAATAATTCACAAGACAGTTGTGATGGTTCCAGGCCCTATACTCATCTTCGGTATTACTGTCAGCGTTATTGATTGATTGATATGTGGAGTTGAACGTCCCAAAACCACCATATGATTAAGAGACGCCGTAGTGGAGGCTTCCGGAAATTTCGACCAACTGGAGTTCTTTAACGTTCACCCAAATCTGAGCACACAGGCCTACAACATTGCCGCCTCCATCGGAAATGCAGCGGCCGCAGCCGAGATTCGAAATCGCGACTTACGGTTCGGCGGCCCAGTACCTTAGCCACTAGACCCCCGCGGCAGGGTGCTGTCAGCCTTATCTAGATTCACGTTTGCGCTCACGTCTACTCACATATATTCCAAAACAGTATTGTTCATTCACCATTTTATTATTTATTGATCAGAGGCAGGAATTACGTGAAGGAACGCCATGGACTCCTTCCCGCCAACTCTTCCAAGAATCTTCTTGATAAATTTATATTGCGTTGTCATCTCTTTAAAAAAGTGTCCCTATTGGTTTGCAACCACTCACTACTCGTATTGAAAGGTACTACATAAAATAAAACGCCTGATAGGAGCACAGATTACGTGAGATACTGTTGTTAAAGAGCATTTACACCATGATGGAAAAAGGCAATTCTGGACCAACGGACCTATGAGCCGAATCATGCGTACTCACTCCGACTCAAAACGAGTTACGAGTTGGAGTGAGTTCGGATGAGTAATATTTTCGTTAGTTTTAGTCTGAAAGGTGAGTTCGGTTTAAGAAAATTTTCGTGAGTGTAAGTACAAGCGAGTCCGGATAGGGAAAATTTTGATGAGTCTGAGTCCGAGGGAAGGCAAAGTGCAAGATATATTTCTTCATTGAGTCTGAGCGAGTTCCACAATTTTCGCCGGGCTATGCTTGGCGGTGTGCCTGAAGTCAGAGGTCAACCAGGGAGGACGTGAATCTAAATACCTTCCGGACACCTCGGACAGGGTGCTCACGGAGAGACGACAAATGAAACTGCAAATGGCAATATGGTATTGGCAAGTTTTAAGTCGACAAACGTACAGGGCAAAATTAGGTTCGAAGACCAGCTAACACATACGAAGGTCAGTAAGTGGGAAGAAAAAGTGTTGCGGTACTGGTAGAGGAGGAGCGTTGACTCACAGCCGAGGAAAAGAATTAGGCGACTCACCGGCAAGTATACGGCTGGCAGTGTAAGCGATATGGGCACAAATATCATAATACGAAAAGTCAGGGAGGTGGGGAAGGTTTGTTACAAAGCTTTGTTACAAAGTAACTGCCGGAAGGGTGAAGACGAAACAAGTAGGGAGGCAGCTTATGATCACTCAAAGGAAAGCGCTTTTCGGTTGCGTTAGGAAACGTAGTTTGAAAGTGATATTTAGCATAGAAGTGAACGTGGTTGCTGTGGGAAAGCTAATGAAATGACGGAGCATGTTTTAATTGAATGTGAAGATAGCTATCCATGTGAAAGTTTCAGCACTCACATGCGCGAAGTATTGGGTTTTGGGGACACTAATGGAAGGGCAAACAGGTCTGCGATATAAGTTAGTAAGATATGGTGAGAAAATGAGAGGAGGAGTACCAGGTAGAAATGAGAGAAATAAATAGTGGTAAAAATATTGTTACTCTGCCTTAAGGCTCAGAAAGCTTCGCTGTGGACCTGTTAGCGTTATTTGAGTAGGGCCATCAAATTAAAGGCACCTTCACGCTAGCACTGCCAAGCCAGAATGAAGTGCGGAGCTGGGAGGCCTTCTTTGCTTCTCTTTGTTTCCTTTTCTCTCATCACTATGTTTTTTTCTGTGTGTTTTTGTCTCTGTTCGCTTGTATTTATCTGCTGATGTATTTCGTTCTTTCTCACTCTTCATACCTTCCTTTTACCCTCTAGCCCTGTATACTTCTCTTTTCATCATTCTTCATGTTTCTCTCTCTCTCATTATTCTCTCACTTTCTCTACTTTCCTCTTTATTTCTGTTTTGCGGTGTTTTACTTTCTCCCCTTCCTTTCCTGTCTCCTCACATCTTTTCTATTTGCGCTCGCTTCCTTTTCCCAGCCCATTGCTATGCTATGCTATGCTCTGCTAGCGTGCATGGCTCGCTAGCAGAGCATTGGTTGCGAAGCTGGCCTTCGGATCGCAGGTACGCCGGTTTGAATCCCACCTCGCCAAGGATTTCTCTTTCTTACCACCTCTTTCTTTATTGCTCTTTTTTTCATTGTCTCCCTTTGTACTCGTTCTTTCACCCAACAAAGTCATTGCATCCCATGCCAGAGAAATCGGCGCACGTGTTCTGGGAGCGAAGCAGGTCATGTAAAAGACGACGAAGATGACGGCGGGTGCCGGTACATAATGCTGATACTTTTATGTCAACCACTATAGGCTTTGCTGTATAATTTAATTAGATAGACAATGCGTTAGGCCGAAACAACAACAACAACAACAACAACAACAATAATAATAATAATAATAATAATAAAGTGCAAGTCAACGCCTTTATAGGCACCGTATCGACACTGCCCAGCAAAGCTCCTCACTGTCTCCAGACGCAGCGAGGATTGTGCAACACCCTTTTTTAGGTACAGGGAAGCTTGACCAGCGTGTCGCCTACCGGACAAGCGTATGGATAGATCCTGAGAAGTTTTCTTGGCCTCTAGGTATACCTCCTTGACACCGCCTCATGGCGCGTGAGTGATACGTTGGGCAGTAGTAGTTTCACTGTTTAATTATCGAAATGT